TATCAATCCTGTGTTTTTTCGTAGGGGAAATGAACTCGCGCGATCATTTACAAAGCATGCATGGGTGACATTTATAGTAGAGAAATGATATCATTTAACTGATTACTATCCTCCGTCTCTTTTTAATCGCAACATGTTGAATTTTACACTATTCACATGTTCTACTTTGACTACATTTTATATTATTATTTTATGAAAATTATTTTTTTGAAATTATATTGTTCAATTCATCTCATTACAAATTTTCAAAATCTAATTTTTAAATATTTTTTAATAATAGGGATTAAGATATAATTGCAGTCAAAGATTGTGTTGGCAAGTGTGAAATGTTGACCGTTGCAACTAAAAAAGAACGGAGGAAGTATTAATTAATAATTACCTGGGAACCCAAAATGAGAGCTCCACGTTGAAGAAAAAGAGTGAAATTGCTGGTGAGGTTGAAGCTCCCCGTCAGCCAGCGCCCCGGAGGAACGTTAAGCTGGGCCCCGCCCCTCTCACGGAAAGTCTCCATAAACTCCATGGCCCTTCGGAACGCCGCCGTATTCGACGTAGCCCCGTCGCCAACTCCGCCAAAGTCGGCGATCGACCGGGCCACCTTCCTCGGCGGGTTGACCGGGGAGAAGAAATGGGAGCAGCTGAAGACACCCCTTCTCTCCGGCCCCATTCCACCGGAGATGAAACCCAATGGCGGCGACGGCGGAAAAATAATTTCGTCCTGCTTGGGAATCTGGAATCCGATTAAAGCTGCTGCAGCAAAGAGGAGGAAGAGGAAGACGACCCATGAAGGTTTGGTCAAAGTCGCCTTGATCGCGGTCAATAACGATTTTTCACCTTCCATCAATCAATTCCTGTATTGTATTTTGGAATGAGGTCGGCCGGGGAAAGTATTTTTCGATTTAATTTATTCGTTGGCCGCAATTCTGTCGACCGGATGCTTGGCGCGGCAAATAGGAGGTTGAGTGGGCGGCGGATCCGCCGTACGTGTTGGAATGGAATTGAACGGAAAATTGTCCCTCATTTTATGGATCTTCCTCACCGCGTTTTTTTTACTAACCAAAATGTTTCCACAAATTTCGCATCCTTTCTTCAATCACTACACTCTCATAGTCCGACCATCATTTAAGAAGTTTCCTAATAATAATAATAATAATAAGAGTAAATTACCTATAAAGGAGTAACGAGTTGTGAATTTGCCAAAATAGGAGTCGAAACATGGGGTATGTGTCGTAGGAGCCTTTTTAGCCCTATTTGACAAAAATACCCATGCTCCCAATAACCGCCCATCAGTTGCAACAGGAGCGTGAACATCGGAGTCCCAAAAAATAAGCCCCGAGCGCCGGAAATTTAGCGAATCGATATGGAAGAAAACCGATCATTTATTGTGACAGAAGTGGGACGGCGGAAGTTACGGTGTTCAAGTAAAAAAGAAAAATATCAAAAACACATATGCTGGTCGTGGGACGATGGAGAAAAACAAAAGCGTAAGATTGCAGAAGAGCAAGAGAGGAAGAAAAGAAGCGGTGAAGATGGAAGACGATGACTTCCAGCCTGAAAAACCTGGTCCACTGACCATACGCATCAACGATGAAATGGTCAGTTCGTTTTACTATTTTTGAAGCATTATTTGTGTGAACAGTAAATGAAAAGGTGTTCAAGTGTTCGTTTTTCGAAATTGATTGTAGAATGTATGCTGGGATGGAATATTTGTGTAAATTAGTGAACAAGAATGCTAAAATCCATGTTATTAGGCACAATAGCAATTACACAGATGGTAGATACTTCAAAAAGTGTGGATTAATTTGAGGGTGTAATGTTTGTTGGAATTCAATAATTGCCTAAAAGTGGAAGAACTGTGTTTAGTGAGAGTGGTTTGTGTGGAATAAATTGGTGGAAGAAACTTTCTAAATTGTACGGAATAAAGTGGTGCTTGGAAGCCATGTTTAGATGGAATAAATGCCTAACAAATGGAAGAAATCTGATGTGAGGGAGGAAGAAACTTCCAAAATTGTATGGAATAAAACGGGGTAGGTTTTTTTTGTAGGGATGGAATATAATGCCTACAAAGTGGAAGAATGGTTGTAATGTAGAGAAATATGATGTGAGGGAGGAAATTTATAACAAAATTGTCTGGAATAAAACGGGGTAGGATTTTTTTTGTTGGGATGGAATATAATGCCTACAAAGTGGAAGAATGGTTGTAATGTAGAGTAGGTTCCATGGAATAAATTGAGGGTAACAGATTTGTAAAATTGGGAAGAATGATGTTGAAATGCGTCTGAAACTTCCAAAATTGTAGATTGTAGAGAAATGTGATGTGAGGGAGGAAGAAACTTCCAAAATTGAATGGAATAAGACGGGGTAGGATTTTTTTCTTGGGATGGAATGAAATGCCCAAAAAATGGAAGAATGAGGGTTTGACATTCTCAAGTTATTTCATTCAACCAACTTTCTATTATAACTGTTCTTCCATTGTTTAGGCATTTATTCCATGCCAACATAAATTCCACGCCTACTTTATTCCATACAATTTAGGAAAATTCTTCCTCCTTCACATCATCTTTGTCTACACTCTGATTCATATCTATTGCAAATCACATTCATCTCACCATCATACATTTTAGGATTTTATTCCATAAATTTCACCCCGTTTTACTCCATACAATTTAGCAAGTTTCTTCCTTTTTATGCCTATAGCAATTTCAATAAATTGTGCTTCACATTATCGGCAGTAAGTAGTTCAATTGTTTGAAAATATGTGATGAATATTAAGAATTTTGAATTGCTATAATAGGTTATTGGAAGAGCATTTGGGCAGAAAGAACTCGAGAATTTGGATAGCATGAGGATTAATTGTTATTGTCGTTTAAGCAAGGCCGTGCAAAGGATCAAGAACCAATTGAAAGAAGAAGAATTGAAGGTGTTCAGCAACACAGTTTTTGGGTGGGTACTGCACACAGAATCAATGGAAGTAGTAAGCGGGCAGATGCAACTGGGATTGCTATGCAACTCCGTGAAAACTGTGAACAAAGTGAAGGAGAACAATGTCATTCGTTTCCATATTCAAAATAGCGTGATAAGCTTCTGGAAAAAAGATCTTTGTTTATTGTTAGGTTTGAAAATGGGTGGACAAAAGCCTCAGATAGAGGAGCAGTTGAGAGGACATATTTGGCAAACGTACTTTGGTAGTGCAAAAAGTGTAAGAAGAAGTGATGTATTGGATGCATTGATGAAGTATAACAGTGATAACCCTGAAGCACAAGCGGAAGATGGCGTGAAACTTGCGCTTCTGCATGTGCTGTCACATGGATTGTTTGGAGATCAGGTGGGTCGGGAGTTGCCAGCGGCATATGTAAACTTGGTGGAAGACTTAGATGCCTTTAATGAGTACCCGTGGGGTGATGATGTGTGGACTGAACTACTTAAAAACATGACAAACAATATAGATAGTCTGAAGAATTGCAAAGGGAATCGTGCAACGCTCCCAGGGTGTTTGATTGCTCTTCAAGTTTGGGCGTTTGAAACTTTCCCAGGTCTACAAAAAGCTGGAATTTGCAATATCAAGGAAGGTGAAGAAAGATGCATTCCAAGGGCTATGAAGTGGTCATTTACAAAAAAACCTTCACTGGATGTTTTCAAGGAAATTATTTTCTGCAATGAGGATGTAAGTTGATTCGTATTTGTAGGATATATATGGTATTAAATGAATAGTATATAACTTACTTCTATTCCATGTTTCATTGCAGTTTGAATGGGCAAAGTTGGTGGCTACTGATGAGGAAATTGAGAAATTTCCTATATTTGTGATGAATAGAAGGCTCAGGTCAAGGAATGGACAAAGCAGTGGCAATAGAGAAGAAGATAGGATTATTAGGGAGAAGAAGAGCAGTACAAAAGAAAAAGGTAGGAGGGTGAGTGGAGTCAAGGGTACAACAAGTGGAAGGGGAAAACAAGAAGAAGAACTATCAGATGATGTTGATCTGGATGATATGGGGACAATTGGATTTGGAGAGGAAAGGAAGAATGCAGTCATTTTGAAGCAAGTCAGGAAAATAAGCAAAGAAAATGCCAAGATCATGGCAGAACTCAAAGAAGTGAGCAAAAATAAAAAAAGTCAAGACAAAAAACTGGGGGAAATACTTTCACAGCTAAGGAAGATGAATACAAAGCAGGAGGGACAAGGTGAAGAAATTGGGGATGAAGTTCATGGCCCTAAAAATAATACAGATGCTGTGTTACAACACAAACAACAAGAAAAGAGTGCAAAAGCAGATTTTATGGAGACCGAGCACAATGAAGAAGGAGTGGAGATGCCAAATTTCAACATATTTGGGGCCGAGACTCAACAGAAAATGTGTGATGAAAGACAGGCGGATGTGAGTGAAGAGAATAGAGAAGAAAAGGAAGATGGAGTGGTAGACGTTAAAGAAGGGGAAGAAGCTGATGGGGAAAGAAAGGAGGCAGAGGCAGACAAGTGTGATGAGGGTAAACAACTAGGAGATGACGTCGAGATATGTGACACAGAAAAGCAAAATGAAAAAGGAGAGGCTAAGGAAATTAGTGAGGTGAAAACAGCAGACTTTTGGGAAGTCGAGGACACCCAGTTCGTGAAGGAATTGATCAGAAACGTGGATACTGTTGAGAAACAAGTGTTAGGAACAGATGCAAGTAAGCGAGCCAGGGCAATGCGTTCACCGAGCGATGAGGTAATATATTTAATAACATATCTTTGGTACTGTAAAATGCACATGAAAAATAAGCATGCATGATTTTAAGTGCAGGAAGGACAGAACATGGGATGCGAGCACGAGACAGAAAAGGTGAGAGATCAAACAAAGGAAAACATGTGAGTGTTTGAGTTATTTTTATAAGATTGTAATATGATTTTTTTTAAAGGTACATGAAATCTTAGTGGAGCATACAAGAGCTAAGCGGGTTGCACGATCACCTGATAGATACACACCTGCTGAACAGGGTGAGGCAAGAAAGAGGAGGAGGAAAGCAATTGCCAAAAAAAGGGAAGAGCAGTGCTTTTTCGAGCCAAGAAATGTTGGTCCTTTTGGAGAGGATCCAAGTGAGCCACCACCGGTAGAAGAAATAGAGAAGGTGCGGGAGTTTCTGAAGACAGGATTATTAAAACGGAAGAATAAGAAAAATGATGATAATAAATACAGAAAGGATCATGAAACCATGAATGGTCTGCCGATGTTATTGGACAATGTAAAAATAGAGTATAAGACATGGCTCTACAAGCTGTTTGTGAACCCAGAATGGCTTGATGCAACGGTGCGTTTGAACCTCACTTCGTTGTTTATATGTAATAATAATAATGTAATTTATGTTTGTAGTGGTTTATAATGACTTGCGGTGTTCTGTGCAGCATATTGAAGTAGGAATGTTCTACCTTGGGATGAAACAGTTTCAGTATAAGCTCCAATTCCCGTATTCTACATGCAGCCCGTATTTCTTACAAGCCCTTCAGCGTGAGCATGAAAAAATCCAGACTTCACAGTCAAGTCTTCAAAAGGCGGCTGAAATGTCTGTAATAGAGAGCCATATTGTAGGCAGTACAAGCACATATGCACTGAGCTGGGCAGAATCGGACTTCGTGTATATGCCCCTAAACACCGGACATCATTGGGTGTTGCTTGTGTTGGAGGTCAGACAGAGAAAGATCAAGGTGTATAATTCTATGAGCAGAAGAGGGGAAGCTATAAGGGAAGTCAGGCAACATCTTCCAAGTCTACAGTGCTTGCTCCCGAAGATCATGGATGTGCACAAAGTCTATGAAGACATCGGAGAAGAACCAATGAGAGAGAGAAAAATAGAGGTGGAAGGTGTACAAGAATGTCCACAACAAAATGATGGGTAAGACATATTTGTTGTTGGAGATATGAACATTATATTTTAATTGAACAGTTATTTATATGGTGTTGATTCATGGCAGGGGAAACTGTGGTATGTTTGTGTTGAAGATTGCAGAGTTCTTGATCATGGGCATGGATATTGAAGAAATAGATCCCGAGGACATGACGATGTATAGGGAGAAAATGACAACAGAGCTCATCTTGTACAGCAAGAAGAGAACAGAGGAGCTGAATGACGCAAAAAGCTAGAGAGCATACAGAAGCTAGTGCATTTTCTTTAAAAAAACAAAATGGAAAAGTTGTGATTTTTATCATTTTGGTATTAAGCTAGGACTTGTGGTTTTTATAATTTTGGTTTAAGGTTTGGTATAATGTTACGCTTATTTATATATCTGCTATGACTAGGTGGAATTACACTATGGTTAATTAAGTATTACTGTTATTAGATTTCTAATGAATGTAATGGTAGGAGTTTTATGAATTGTGATGGCATAATTTGGCTGGAAAGGAGGCAATATGTTTGTATTTGAGTCTAATTGTGGTTGGAACGTTCAAGTAATTAACAGTATATGAAGATTGAGTGCGAGATGTTGTGGCAAATGCCTGTTTTGAGGAACTAGTGAAATAATTTTCAAGGACATGAGTAAGTGGCATTAAAATAGTAAAACAAACAAAATAAAACGAAGATGCTATGATTATCATATTTTTACATAAAATGGTGAACGCCAGAAGACAGAGTTACAGGTTGGATTATGTTGAAAAATGCATGTCAATGATTCTTGGTATATAAATATGCCAATAACATGGAAAATAAATCTGCAATATACATGGTTTATGTATCACACTACAAACTGTATAATCCCATAACCAACTTTAGTTCAATTAATTGCTTAAAATAAAGGGAATTTAGCATTGCAGAGTAAATGGAAGACACATTACATGAAGTATAACTAGTAATTGATTTTTTTTAGCATTAACAAGGACATGTCTATGAATAAATACTTTGAAAGCAATGAGTTCAATCGTGTTCATAAGACTGAAAACTGAAATAGGAACAAATATAAAATTATGACTAATGAGTTATTGTTGGAATTGGATTGCGACAAGTCTTCTTATTATGACCAACGATGTGGCACCTAGAACATCTTTGGCGTTTTGTCCCACGATGCTCACCAACTGAAGGTATCCTTGACTTCCTCGGACGACCAGGGGGTCTTTTCGTACATGATGGGGGTTTACATCGAATACTGGCTATATGGGGAGGCACCACCCAAGAATCTCTATCACATACTGGGTGCATAACACCGCTCCACGTGGAAAGCCAAAATTGTCGTGTGTAATACTTGGAAATGTAATCATAACAAGATTCACGTGGGCGGAGACCAATGGCAGCAACCGCATGGACACAAACAAAGTGATTAAGTTGAAACGCTCCACATGTGCATGTTCGAGCCTGAAGGTCAACTACAAATGAGCGACAATGCCTATCAACAACTTCAAATTCAAAATATGATGTAGGCTTGACCTGAAATTATAATGGATAAGCATTAGTATTTTGAAAGTTTCAGTAAATGAATGTGATTGAGTAGAAGGTTGCTAGAGGGATGGAGGATAGCAGACTTGGAAGAAATGCCAAGTATGTGGAATAATTAAATGAAAATAAAACAACCTGAATGTTGTGCAATATTTATGTTAAATTAAAATAGGGAGAATATTGTCAAATAAATGTTTAGCACATTGAGATTAAATAAAAACCTTCAACTTAGCAGCTTGACTTTGAAGTGCAACCAAATGCTTCTCCCGTTTCTTTGTCAAAATAGTTTGAGTCTTTTCAGCTTTTTCCTTTCTTTCAACAAACCACTTTTGCATTCGTTCCCTAAGAAAGTCAATAAGTTTGGAAACAGAATACTCCCTTGCACAAACACTGACATTGTTCATTGACTCTGCACAATTTGAGGTCATCACATCGTACCGCCGTGGCCCACTCATACACTTTGCCCATCTATGAGGACCAATTTTTTCTAGCCAAGGTCGTATGCGAACGTCTTGAGAATCCATCAGCGCCATATACTCTTCATATTCCTTGATTGTTGAAGCGTTATATGCAGCCTTGAATTTCCAACCTAAGTCAGTGACATTCCCCCTGAATTTGGATACCATATTACGCCGAAGGTGCTCAACACAATAGCCATGGCCAGCATGGGGGAAAATCTGTTTAGCAGCACCGAGTATACCTTCATGCCTGTCAGATATAATGTACATATCCTCACGAAATGTTAGTGATTCAGCCACTTTTGAAAAAAACCAAACCCAAGAAGCTTTAGACTCGGTATCACAAATTCCAAACGCCAAAGGGACGATGTGATTGTTAGCATCCTGTGCACAAGCCGTTAGAAGCGTTCCTTTGTAGTACGCCTTCATAAACGATCCATCTACAATTAGAATAGGTCTGCAAAAATTCCATGCATCCCTCCAAGGTGCAAGTGACATGAAAAAATAACGAAACACGTCATTATCATCTGTTGTAACATCCACAAATGAACCTGGATTGGCATTCTTGAGCATATACGCCATCGAAGGTAAAATCTGATAAGACTCAGCATCTGATCCGAATTGCTTTTGCATTGCCAACTTTTGAGCTTTCCATGCCTTCTTGTATGACATGGAGATGCCATGCATGAGCCTCATGTCATCACGTATCTCATTTGGTACATATGGTTTTCTAGAAGCATCCAAGTACTTATGGGAAATGAGTTCTGCAACAGTGCGGTATGTTGCTTGGCGATGCTTCCCTTGCCTGTAATCGACCGAACATGTGTGGGATGAATCAAACCTGTAACAAGTTTCAAAGCACATAATGAACAAACTGCCCAGACTTGGAATAATTTGCCACTAATATGGAATAATATACTACAATTATTTCATCCAATTTCTAAAAAATGATGGAAACATACCTTCTGATTTGAAACATTTGGACCCCACGTAGCTTAACTGCCCTCACAGCCCATTTGCATTCCTCACCTTTACAAACAACGTGCAACTCAGTTTTCTTTGATGTGCGCGTTGTGTATTGAAAACCATTATCTATGGCGTACAACATTAAGTGGTGGATAAGGTCTGCCTTAGACTGATAAATACCGTCGACAGTTATCTGAGTGGGATGATAATGAGTGATCACTTTGGAATTTTGATGAAGATAATATATCTCAGAAGAAGATGAATGGGAACGAGGTGATGGAGGACATATAGAGTCAGAACAGGGGCTTGAATATGAATCATCATTGCATTCAGCAAGAGGAATGCAGTCTGTAGCATTCTGTACATGGTCATCACCATTGGAATAATTACCCTCTTTAGAGTTGGTCGTAATGGCAGAATGGTGGGGATTAGGACATGTTTCTTGTGATGAAACAGGACTGTGAAACACATCAGCGTGTGATACAGAAGCGATGCGCGGATAGGCAATATCGCTTGGAAATTCCACACACAACGGGTATTTGTGAATATCAGATTGAAGAAGCTTAAGATCAAGGAAGAAACGGAAGCTTTCCTCATCATGGATACATACCGGTGGAGGACATTGATCAACCATATAAGACAATGAGAAATGGTTATGAGATTTGTATTTAATTAGTATCGAAGAAAGTTCAGACACAAATTCACCAAATTTGGCAGAATAACGGATGTGCATACCAAATTTGTCATTACAATTAAAATTGTAATCATTGTCCCAGCTACCATCCAAATTCAGCATGATTAAAATAACTGGATCCATATGGATAACTACAAAAAAAAACGAAAAATAACAACGTCAAAAATGTTATTGGCTCATAATTTGAATGAAACTACATATTCATGTTACGGGAATTGACATACTAATGACAAAAATCATGAATCACACAACATAAAAGGTGAATGTGGCAGAATCAGAAGCATATTGGTAGGCGCAACATACAAATATTGATGCAGAATAACTGAAACACTGAATAACTGAATCTGTTTGTCCAAAAAAAGTGGAGTTTCAGCAATAAACAAAGGATAATGAACTTCAAGTGGAGGAAGAAAAGAGCAAAAGAAGAAAATACAGAACAACAACAATGTTATCTAAAATTACAAAAATCGAATGTGGAAAAATTCATTGGAAAAAAAGTATTCAATGAAAATTAATAGAGTAGAAAGTATAGAAATTGCAAGAAGTGATTGTGGAAGTTTAGAAAAATACAAAGAGTGAGTTTTACCAGATTGAGCGTACGGCGTACTACGAAGCAGAGATAGCGTTCCAAGAAGAAAAGATGCAAGGAATTTGGGTTTGGTATGATTTGCAGAGAATTCTCTTCGTATGAAAGGAAACAAAGCGGAAGAAACGGTTGCAGAGAGAGACTTGCGAGAGACTTGCGTAACAGTCATGGAGTAACTACATAGGGAAACAAAGAAAAAAACGGTTAGCCAAAAGAAGTGTGCGTAAACAACGCAGGGGTAAGTTTGGAACGGATATGTACGTATGTTTCAGAGTAGGAGGAAAGATCTCCTATTTGGGGAAAAAAACAAGAGTACTCCCCTTTTGGATTTTTGCTATACTTTTACTCCTATATGAGTCAATTTCTATAATAATAATAGCGCGCGGTCATACTAAGATGGATAAAGAGCCTAAAATTGACTGCAATAATCCGAACTATTACCTGTCCGCTTCTAATAATCCCTAGTACGTGTTATTTCTGTTTAATCCAAACTTTGGGGGGTGTCTTCCATAATTAGACTGTAACCGGTTATATTAATTAGAGCCGGTCATGAATAATCACGTGATGGGTCACGTATGTATTTAATACTCCCCTTCGATTTATACTTCGTATATCTTTATCTTCTTCTCTCGTCCAACATATACGCAGACTTCTTCTGTTCTTGCCTGCAAACACAAATTACAGATCTGGTGTTCAACGTCTGGTCCGAGAAGTCACATATGAGTTCAGCGTCTCGGACATCGTCTTGGGGAGGGAGGGACGCAACCCAGAGCGAGTGTTTAGTCAAATGCCACCACAAGGTGTTTTCAAAACCTAGAATCGTCAAATCTAGAGCAAATCATGGTCGAAGATTTCATGGTTGTGCGCTATGGCGGGTAAGTTGGACTGATTTGTGAATTATATATGAATTTATTGAATGAAATTATTTCTGAATTATGGGCCTTTTTTAGAAAGCAGATTCCTCATTTTTTCAATGGGTTGCGGATTATCCACCTTTTGGAGTGGATGATTACAAGAAAAGGGAAAATGATAGACCAATTGACCATGTTGATGATGAGAGAAGTGGTTTGGAAGAGAAAATTGCGAAGTTGAAAATGAAGAAGAAAAAGCTGAAAGCAAAAAATGAAAAGTTGTTGGGATTAGTTTGCAAGCATGCAAAAGGAGAAAAAGTATTCATTTATGGCTTTGATTGTCTCCTGGATTGTGTTTGCTGTTGTTCTGTATGGGAAATGAAAGTGATAATTGAATTAATGTTGCTGGTGTGGGTGTTATTAGAGTAGTAAGTGTGTCAAAGTGTTGTATGGGTAAGCAGAGTGTTGTGTTTGCAGAAAGTTGTAACCGAATTTGGGATCCATTCCTGTATTTGTATCAAACTATTTGTATCAGACTATTATGAATGCAAAGTTTATGTGTTCTCACCATTCTTAAGCTGAAATTATCACACACAAAACCAACTGAAAATTGTCTGCTCTCACAACTCTTAAATCTGAATTTACCACACTCAAAAGCAGGTGTAAATGTATATGTTATGACCACTTTTAAATATGAAATTACCCTACTCAAAACCAACTGAAAAAGTATGCACTATTACAACTCAAAAGAAACTGAAAAGGTTTGTGAAATTGTGCTAATCACCACTCCAAAGTTAACCTGGTCACTTTCAAAAGTACTTTCATATTACCTACAAAATGTTCTTTCAAAAGTGGAAAGCAAACCTGATGTTTCAAATTAAGCAGACCCAAATAAAACATAATGAAAATGTACTAATCAGGACTGAAAACCAACTGCTGTAAATCTGAAATTAGCACACTGAGAACCAAGAGAAAACCAAGTGAAAACAAAAAGAAAACCAATTGTATTAAATCTGAAATAACCACATTGAAAACCAACTTAAAACCACCTGAAAACCAAGTGAAAACAAAAAGAAAAAACAACTGTATTAATTCTGAAATAACAACATAAAAGCAACATAAAACCCACTGAAAAGCAAGTGAAAACCAACTGAAAACCAAATGAAAATAAATTGAAAAGCAAGTGAAAAACAAATGTATTAACTCTGAAACAACCACATTCAATACCAACTGAAAATCAATTGTACCATACATAGTATTTGATATAACCACATTGAAAACCAACTTAAAACCATCTGAAAACCAAGTGAAAACAAAAAGAAAACCAAATGTATTAAATCTGAAATAATCACACTAAAAAGGAACATAAACCCCACTGCCTATTAGGGCAACTGCTTACTACTCCGTATAATGCTAGGAAGAGTGAAGAGTTCACTTAAAACCACCTTATGCTCATTATTTCATAAACATGAAACATGAAACCATGATCATTTGTACAATAAACATTTGTATATCACCAGGGTTGCTGCAACACAAACATTAAACCATGATCATTATCCATAGAAATATCCATCATTATCCTTAAAGGATACAAATGTGATACACAAGAAATATCCATACATAAGTAGATTATCCTTAGAACATTATCCTTACATTACCACAAATACAGAAACACGAAAGAGATGAAATAAAACTTCATCAGTATCCTTACAACCACAATAACAGTTAACACAACACTACTATATTGAAAAACACCAGTCCTCTTCACTCCTTCATTGTTGAATAGCCACTTCATGTTTGTGACGGATTTGTTGGCCGTCCTTGTACATTATACATTTCCCTCACCTCAGCATCAAACTTAACACTTCTCAAACATGTCTCCAAAGTCTTACCAGGGACCAAGTAATAGATTTCATCTATGCTACTATATTTCCCACACTGGCCAGCTAAGTTCATCAGCATCCAAATCAAAACATCTAAACTGACCACCAGCATACTCTAAATTTTTTCTACTATCCTTCTTAAATGTACCTCCATGCCACATCTTCAAAGTAACCACAGTATTTAAAGCCATTCCCTCTTCAGTATTTTACAATCTAAAATTAGAACACAAAAAGGAAGTACATTTAAAATAGTATAATTAAATAAAGGAGTCTTCTGCTACCAAAAAAGCTCTGTCTGTGTAAATAAAAGCATAAAAATCACATAACTTCAATTAAGTGCATTTGTAAGTAATTTCCCTAAATCAACTAAGATGTATAACTCTAATTACAAAAAAACCTCTGTATTTAGGAAAAATTGGCAGAGGTTGGGGATTGGCAGAGGAGTTACAGTTCTACTTCCAGTTCTAAATTGACAAAGGGTGGGGTTTATTTAAAAAAAAACTGAATTAAAAGAAACATACTGCCTAGCAAAAGAAACACATGACATGAGCGAACCTTTCTCGTTTTGAATTAAACTGTACTCCATTGCAATAATTTATTAAAAAAAATCAAAATTTGTACCTTTTCGGTTTTGCTTGACCCGAACCTTTCAGCAAATTCCCTACCAAAAGAAACATATTACATGAGCGAAGACGTTGATTATAGTCGCGGTGAACAAATAGAAAGATTAGAAGACATTCGCGTGCGAAGAAGATGAAGACCCACCTGTTCCTACAAACTTGGATTCATGGTTAGCTAGGTCAACAGGGTGAGGATAAGGTCTACGTGATACATTACTTAGGTATTTTTTAAAGTTTGACTGATTAAACCGGTCACAGGTCACAACAGTATATTTACGGAAGACACCCCCAAAGTTCGGATTAAACAGAAATAACACGTACTAGGGATTATTAGAAGCGGACGGGTAATAGTTCGGATTATTGCAGTCAATTTTTCCCCTAAAATATTAAATACGAAGTATATATGGATCCTCTCCACATGAAATCAATGTTTTAAGTTCTTACTTTTCTCTGTTTCAGCATCATTAATAAAATACACTCAACTTATTTTTTACGTATCAATTTAATAAAAGATTAATCAAATTATTATAAATAATGGAGTATTATCTAATTAGCTTTTTCTCTAAA